ATAAAAATAAACATAAAATAAAAAAATAAAATAAAAAATTAAATATCAATAAATAAATAAAATTAAATATGAAAAAAAAGAGAGAAAATAACAAAAAATAAAAAAAGAAAATAAATAAATACAAAAATATATAAAAGAAAAAATAAGACAAAATAAGACATATGAAAAATATAATTTGCATATCCTTTACCAATTAGATAAGAAACAATTTATATCGATCTCTGCATTTAACCCCTTGGGGATTAATGTTCCCATTTGGTAGATCCATTTCGTTTCATTTTGTGATATACTTCTAACCATATCACCCCCCTCTCCATGGGACATCGATCCTATCGATCCCACAAAACCTTAAAGATGTCGGATCCCTATTATGATATAATCTAAAATGGTGTGACAAACTGTGATATTTAAATCCTTTCTTTATATTTCTAATGTGCTCTCCCAGTCTCACAGAGAGTTTCCTAGTAGTTCTACCTATATACTGGAAGTTGCAAGAGCACTCCAGCAGATAGGTAACATGGGTGCTGTCACACGATATGAACTTCTTTATATGATGAACCATTGGAACACGATTGGAAGCTATCATAGTATCTTTTATTATCGCCTTTCAGATTGTTACATGCTATACACCTTTTGCATTTAAAAAAAACCCAACCTTATCCAAGAAAGTTACCACCTTCCTAGGTGCATCAGGGACATTTTTTTACTAATCTAGTTCTTAGTGTTGGTGGCTTCCTATAAATGAACATGGGCTTCCTCGATAGCATTTTACTAAGGACTTCATCCCTTTTTAAAATCGGCCAATACTTTTTGATGATCTTTTCAACCAGTTTAAATTGACTTGAGTAACCTGTAACAAAGGCCAAATCCCCTACTTTTCTATTTTTTTGTTTCTTCACCAGCAAGTCATCCCTCTTGATTTTATTAACCTGTTCTAAAGAGCATGCTAGAACTTCTTCTTTATACCCCTTCTTTCTAAACCTGTTTAACAACATATCTGATTGACTTTGAAATATGCTTTCATCATCACAATTCTGTTTCAATCTGATAAGCTGACTCTTGGGAATGGATTGTAACCAGTTCCTATGTGGTAGCTGTGACTCGGAATGTAACCATTCCTGTCAACCTCCTTGAAATGCGTTTTAGTGCAAAATTTATCACCTTGTTTATAAACCGTGAGATCTAGAAATCTATTGCTTTATCACTGATATTATTAGTAAATGATATATTAAAAGGGTTATTACCCATCTCCTGAATGAATTGTTCCAATCTTTCTCTACTACCTTTCCATATAATAATAATATCATCTATAAACCTTCTATATACGAGCAGTTCCTGGTTCCTATTCTCAAAAATGGCTTTACTTTCCCACCTACTCATGAACAGGTTCGCCATTGACGGCGCATATTTGGCTCCCATGGCCACACCCATTGCCTGCCTATAGAATTTATTGGAATACCAAAAGAAGTTGTGTGTCATAGTTAGATCAAGACTCTTAAGTATAAAATTTATTTGCTCAAATTTCAGTCCTGATTTAGTCTCCAATGCCCACTTGACTGACCCCAGTGCATCACCATGTCTGATGTTCGTATAGAGAGAATTTACATCAACACTTGCCATGATGCAATCTCCTTCTTCTCTAATACCCTTAAGTGAGTTAATGAGATCACCACTGTCCCTCAAGTATGCAGGAAAACTAGGGACCAGGGGTTGCAAAAACTTATTAACATATTCACCCAATCTGGAAAACAGGGAGTCAATCCCACTAATGATGGGTATTCCAGGTGGTTTTTCCAAATTCTTGTGAATTTTTGGCAGTTGATATATGAACGGTACTCTTGGAGCATTAGGTACCAGATATTTACCTTCCTTTTTGTTAAGTAATCCTGCCCTTTCTCCTTCTTTAATATGTTTAACTAATTAGAGCACTCGGGCACTGCCCGAGGGCCCAGGGTCAGTAGGGGGCCCCATGAAATGCCCTTGGTACCTTTTATAGGCTTTTTTGGGTGTGCTTTGAGTGTGGCCAAGGACACAGGGGCCCCATGATCCCCTATTGCCCGGGGGCCCCATGAGTTGTTAGTCCTCCCTTGAAAGAGAGTGAACTATTTCATGAGTAGTAAGGGTTTGGACACACAGTTGTAGTTTCTCTGCATTTTCTTCATACATTTTCCAACATCACTGTCACTCATCATCTACAAGCCAAGTACAGTGGGGCAAAAAAGTATTTAGTCAGCCACCAATTGTGCAAGTTCCTCAACTCCCACTTACAAAGATGAGAGAGGCCTGTAATTAGCAATCATAGGTATGTTGCTGGAGGTAAATGTTGTAAGTCTTCACAAGGTTGGCCACTGTTGCTGGTATGTTGGCTCCATGCAGATCTCCTCTAGAGCAGTGATATTTTGAGGCTGTCGCTGGGCAACACAAACTTTCAACTCCCTCCAAAGGTTTTCTATGGGGTCGAGATCTGGAAACTGGCTAGGCCACTCCAGGACCTTGAAATGCTTCTTACGAAGCCACTCCTTCGTTGCCCGGGCGGTATGTTTGGGATCATTGTCATGTTGGAAGACCCAGCCACGTTTCATCTTCAATGCCCTTGCTGATGGAAGGAGGGTGCACTCAAAATCTCACGATACGTGGTCCCATTCATTCTGTCCTCTACATGCATCAGTCGTCCTGGTCCCTTTGCAGAGAAACAGCCCCAAAGCATGATGTTGCCACCCCCATGCTTAACAGTAGGTATGGTGTTCTTTGGATGCAACTCAGCATTCTCTCTCCTCCAAACACGACGAGTTGTGTTTCTACCAAACACTTCTATTTTGGTTTCATCTGACCATATGACATTCTCCCAATCCTCTTCTGGATCATCCAAATGCTCTCTAGCAAACTTCAGACGGGCCTGGACATGTACTGGCTTAAGCAGGGGGACACATCTGGCACTGCAGGATCTGAGTCCCTGGCGGCATAGTGTGTTACTGATGGTAGCCTTTGTTACGTTGGTCCCAGCTCTCTGCAGGTTATTCACTAGGTCCCCCCGTGTGGTCCTGGGATTTTTGCTCTCCGTTCTTGTGATCACTTTGACCTCACGGGGTGAGATCTTGCGTGGAGCCCCAGATCAAGGGAGATTATCAGTGGTCTTGTATGTCTTCCATTTTCTAATTATTGCTCCCACAGTTGATTTGTTCACACCAAGCTGCTTGCCTATTGCAGATTCAGTCTTCCCAGCCTGGTGCAGGTCTACAAGTTTGTTTTTGGTGTCCTTCGACAGCTCTTTGGTCTTCACCATAGTGGAGTTTGACTGTTTGAGGTTGTGGACAGGTGTCCTTTATACTGATAACAAGTTCAAACAGGTGCCATTGATACAGGTAATGAGTGCAGGACAGAGGAGCCTCTTAAAGAAGAAGGCACAGGTCTGTGAGAGCCAGAAATCTTGCTTGTTTGTAGGTGACCAAATACTTATTTTTCACCATAATTTTTACATAAATTATTTCCAAATCAGGCAATGTGATTGTCTGGATTTTTTTTCTCATTTTGTCTCTCATAGTTGAGGTCTACCTATGATGCCAATTACAGGCCTCTCTCATCTTTTTAAGTGGGAGAACTTGCACAATTGGTGGCTGACTAAATACTTTTTTGCCCCACTGTATGTGAGAGGGGAGGGGAAAGCTCACCTTTTACAGGAAAATTCAAAATTTGCATATAACCTCTGCAGCAGGGGCGGACTGACCATTGGGGAACTCGGGCACTGCCCGAGGGCCCGGGTCAGTAGGGGGCCCCATGAGATGTCCCTGGTACCTTTCATAGGCTTTTGTGGGTGTGGTTTGAGTGTGGGCAAGGACACAGGGGCCCCATGATCCCCTATTGCCCAGGGGCCCCATGAGTTGTCAGTCCGCCCCTGCTCTGCAGCCTATATCTTCCTGAACTTATTGAATGTTTAGGTCTCATGGTATAATGGAGTACAGGGGAGGGGGGATATACATTACTGTATACATGTCATATCACTATAATGGAGTACAGGGGAGGGGGATATACATTACTGTATACATGTCATATCACTATAATGGAGTACAGGGGAGGGGGATACACATTACTGTATACATGTCATATCACTATAATGGGGTACAGGGGAGGGGGATACACATTACTGTATACATGTCATATCACTATAATGGAGTACAGGGGAGGGGGGATATACATTACTGTATACATGTCATATCACTATAATGGAGTACAGGGGAGGGGGGATATATATTACTGTATACATGTCATATCACTATAATGGAGTACAGGGGAGGGGGGATATACATTACTGTATACATGTCATATCACTATAATGGAGTACAGGGGAGGAGGATACACATTACTGTATACATGTCATATCACTATAATGGAGTACAGGGGAGGGGGGATATACATTACTGTATACATGTCATATCACTATAATGGAGTACAGGGGAGCTGGGATAACATTACTGTGTACAGTTTTATATTTTGGACTCTTTATTCTAAAGAAAAATGTAATTTCATAAGCTTTAAGGGGGCGTGGTTGGGGGCAGGGCTGGGGGGCAGTCTGGGGGTGGGGTTGGAGGCAAACCTGGGCAAGGTTGGGTGCGGCAACTGGTGGAGAGTAAGGTTTGTGCCTGGCTAGTAGGTCTAGACTTGAAATTTAAAGCCCTGTAGTAGAGTACCATAAAAATGCCAGGTTTGTGATTTCTCCTTGTATGTCTCAGATTATAGGGATTTCAGTAGGGAGCCTGAGCAATTGTACCCCCAAATGTTTTATTTCCGTATATTATACCCAAAACATACACAAAAAACCCTACCGGAACCCTTCTGTAGTATGCGGTAAAATTCCACTATAGAATTTTATTAATACAGCACTTCATATGATAGTAGTTTAATATTTATTCCTTTAATAGGTATAAGAAAAAAAATACATATACTGATTTGTACAAAAGAAAAATGGCTACACAGCTGCAGTAGATCCACGTGAGGGATAGGAGTCACTTCCGCTTTCTGGTCCTGAACTTCTCCTCCAGATTGGGGGGCACCATTCCTGTGCAAGAAGTCTCTGGTCTCTTCTCTTCTTCATGTTTTAGTATAGTTGGCCTAATGATGTCAGTATCACGACTTAGGTGATCCAGGAAGTTGGAAATGACAGTGGGCGGAGCATAGAAGTCAACTAAGAAGTACCTAGAAAATAAGAAAATGCCAATTCTAAGTTATATATCGTTAGTAAATAAAGTACATTTCAGTGTATATACAGGCACAAGGCACAGCACTACAACAAAGCATATCTAATCCTAAAAACAATATTGCAAATTAGCAGTCCTATATTGTGATGGCTGCATTAGTTTTCTTTTTTTTCAAACTTTTTTCTTATGTTTTTTATTCTTCTGGTGATTCTGAAACTAACACTTCTTGTTCTAGGCTGACAACATTTACTCCATGTTCGGCAGTCTTTCTCAACCTTTTTCAAATGGCGGAACCGTTGAAACAATCTTCAGATCTCAGGGTCTATTGTTCAAGGAACCCCTAGCAGCTACTGGAAGAACCTTTGGGTTCCAAGGAACCTTGATTGAGAAAGGCTGCTGTACTGTATCAAGACAACAGAACAAGATTGATTTCTGGCAGGACCAACAGACTTTTCTTTTTTTTTTTTTTTTTAATTATCAAACATGTTTAACAAAATACCTCTGTCATGTTTCACATGACTGTCATATTGACTGTCATATGCCTTGAAGTGTTTTCTATATCTTGCTCCTCCCTTTCCCTTTGGTTTAGTTAATGCTTTATAGATATCCCGCCCCTTTTCCCAGGAAGGCATTGCATCTCTAGCCTCATGTCATGGAGCAGGAAACGTTATGATCTTTTGACCTATCGAATGTTCATTGTTGTAAGATTCTCTCAGTTTATGGAATAAACTTCACAAGATCTACAAGATGTCTTATCGATTGAATCACTGACTGTGGTATCCAGCTGAGGTTGAAGTTATCGCTATCTCATCACAACTGTAAGTTACAGAGATCACACTTTCAATGCTTAGATTGGAGAGACAGAACAACCTCCAATTGTGTATTTAACAGATAAAGGGGAGCCAAAAGAGGGATGTTTATTTTTTAGGAATGACATGTTGGGATCTAGGTTCTTGTTACTGCAGTGATTCCTTGAGGGCCCATTCACACCATTGTATCTGGTGCATTCTGTTAACATACACTATTTATTTATTTCAGGTACTTATAAAGCGCCGTCAATTTACGCAGCACTTCACTTATACATTCACACCAGTCCCTAACCCTCAAGGGGCATACAATCTAAGGTCCCTATCTCACATTCATACACATACTAGGGGCCAATTTAGAAAGGAGCCAATTAACCTATCAACATATTTTTGGAGTGCTGGAAGAAACCGGTGAATCCGGAGGAAACCCACGCAGGCACAGGGAGAACATGCAAACTCTGTGCAGGTAGTGCCGTGGTTGGGATTCGACCAATGACGCTAGTGCTGGCAGGTGAAAGTGCTAACCATTTAGCCACTGTGCTGTCCATTATACCATGCATTAAAATGTAGCAGCCGATTCATTTGAATGGAGTACCAATGCATCAGGTAGCACTAATAATGTGCTTGCACCATTTTTTGAAGTGCAGCGCACCATAACTCACATTAGTGATCCTGCGTTGTGGCGCGGTGCAATATCAACCTGCTACGAGGTTATGTCGGGGTGCCATTCAGAATGAAAACCTACATGAAACATCTACAGTAGGGTGTTTTTTGTTTTTTCCCCAACTGGGAGTATCAATACCTTCCTTGGGGGTATGGAAACCAAATTCGTGATCAGTGACATGCTAGTAACATTGTCAGTAACAGGACCCCCATTGCACATTTCCTTTGTTCACAAACCGCAAAAACCTTACTAGCTTGTGTATTTCTTATTCTGCGTGTATTTTCTGCATCACATTCAAAATGCATTGGGGGTGCGATCTTCTGCGGGTGTCAATATATCCCCAACGACACTCCAAACACAGATCGTAAGCACGGTACATTTGCCCGCACCAGATCGGATGGTACCGTAGTAGCATTTTGTGGGGCTGTTTTTGAAAAGTAGTGCATGCACTACTTTTTTGTGGAATTTCAGCCTATTCAAATGAAATGGCTGAAAATCACCCTGCATTAAGTTGCACAGGAATGCAGACCATGTTCTTGTGCAATTCTGGTGTGAATCGCTCTAAGGGTCAGTTCACACTACAAAAACGCACTCTGGATGCATTCCGCACACATTTTTGCTTACAGTTCACACCACATGCAGTTCCGGCGCAGTTTTGATGCAGTTTGTTCTACTTTTTTTTTCTGCACCGGAAACTGACTGCACTAGTGTGAACTAGGGCCATTGGAATACATGGAAAACCCTGTGCATGCATTTTTGATGCAAAAAAAAAAAGAGCACTGAACTGCATCTAGTGTGTACTAGCCCTTAGGGCCGGTTCACACTATAGAAACGCAGTCCAGATGCACTCCAGATCCGTTTTGATGCGCTCCAGTGCTTTTCTATGCATTCCAGTTCATTATCCCCCCCCCTTTTCAATTTAAATAGGGACATGTGTGTTCCAGTGCATTTTGGTGCGTTTTACCACCTTCCAGTACAGTTCTATGCAGAAAAAAAAGGCAACCGGAACGCACTGGAACTGCAAGCACTGATGTGAACTGACATTGACAACCATATAACCTACTTTCTGTACATTTTGGATGCAGAAAAAAAAGCAACTGAAACGCATGTAGTGTGAACTGGTCCTTGGGGCCTGTTTACACTATAGAAACAGTCCAGATGCGTTCCGAATGCGTTTTGACGCATTTCTGGTGTGTTCAGGTGCATTTTTTATGCATTCCAGGTCATTTTTTCACCACTCTCTTTCTTCAATTCAAATAGGGATGTGTGTTCCGGTGTATTTTTGGTGCATTTCGGTGTGTTTTTGATGTGTTTTACTGCATTCCAGTACAGTTCTGTGCAAAAAAAAATGCAACCTGTTCTTTTTTTTTTTTCTGCAACCGCAATGCACTGGAACTGTCAGCACTGATGTGAACTATGATATTGAATACCATATAACCTACTTTCTGTGCATTTTGGATGCAGAAAAAAAGCAACTGAAACGCACGTAGTGTGAACTGGCCCTTAGGGTCCGGTGTACACTATTGACATGCAGTCCAAATGCGTGTTTGCATGCGCGGTTTTTGACATGTTTTTGGTGTGTTCAGGTGCGTTTTTTTTATGCTTTCCAGGTCATTTGTTCCCCTTTTTTTTCTTCAATTTAAATAGGGACGTGTGTTCCAGGGCATTTTTGGTGCGTTTTTGATGCGTTCCAGTACAGTTCTATGCAGAAAAAAATGCAGCATGCTCTACAACCTACTTTCTGTGCATTTTGGATGCAGAAAAAAAAGCAACTAAAATGCATGTGTACACAGTGTATTCTAGTTTTTTTCAAATGCTCATCACGCTGAACTCATATTTGGTGTGTATATATATATATATATATATATACACACACACACACACACACACTCTATCTACATACACACACATACATACGCACACTCTCTATCTACATACACACATACATACATAATATATATATATATATATATATATATATATATATATATACACACACATATACATACATACACACACACACACACACACACTATCTATCTACATACATACATATACACACACGCACTATATATATATATATATATATATATATACACACACATACACACATATACACATACAAGAAAATGATCTGATTACCAATCTACAGGTGTACAGCATGTTTTTTTCATTGGAATTAAAGCAGAGGCTGAGCTCATAAAACTACAGTGAACAATATTTCAGTAAGGGCTAAAAATAAAAGTTTCAGTGCTCAATAGAACAATTACTACAGCAAAAGACACGTGTTCAGGCTTTGTGAATTGAGCTTCCGCAATTAATAGCTTGAGGGTAGTAATCAGGCATGAAACCTCAAACATTTACTGACACATCAGTTGGATCCTCTTCAATTTCACAGCTTCGTGCTTCACTTTCATTAAAGTATTAAACAGAGAAAATCTGCAGGTAGCTCTTTAAACATGTAGTGCACATAATATGACCTGAGCATAAAGGGTTTGTAATTAACAAAAAAAAAAAAAAAAAAAAACTTCCCATGAGAGTGATACACAATTTTAAGTGTATGCAAGCTCTCACAATAAATTTCTCCTAGGCTTGGTTCACACATGTGCTGTCTGTGATTATTGCTAGCAGCTATTACTGTCCCTGACAGGAGAACACAATGACGCTGCGGGAGGGATTCCCCCATCAACACAGTAAGGAATCGAGCGAGCGATTGCACCATCTATGGCCAGCTTTACTCTCCGCCTCTGGACTGTTATCATATAGTCATTTCCATGACTACAAAACACCTCAACTTGTTATGGAGTAGAGAGGGAGGTGTTATGTAGAAGAAACAGAGGGCGCAGCTAAGTGTAGTATTATAAAACTTTTATTCTACAATTATACCTAAAAATAGCTAGTCACATGTACATTGCAAGGCAAAAGCACATAAAAGTTTTCCAATGTACAAGCGCCATTCAGCTTCTCATCCAGCCTAAATCTGCTCAACAAGCCGGAAGGAGGATCACCACTGTCAGGAGGTCCCTCCCACTGATTGGACCCGATGCAAACGGCTCTGGGGAAGCCCCGTAACGTCATCCAGACCAGAGAATGTCTGTGGGTATGGCTATGTGTTTTTGGGGGATCCCTTTATCAAGTATTGGACATGTGATTGACGATTTTTAAGTATAATAACAGTATAAACGTTTTATAATACTGCACTTAGCTGCGCCCTCTCTGATTCCTCTTTTTATTTCTTTAAGACATCCCTTATCTCCAGAGGAGCAGCAGATTCAGAACCAAACGCACCTGATCACGGATTATCCTCCATATGAGACACTCCATAGTTTGACAAAACCAGGATCAACGCAGAGACAACAGGTCACAAAATCCAGTTTGTTTTTTTTGTTCTTATTAAAGATTGGCCGATCATGTGACCACGTGCTGATCATTAAAATGAACATGAGCTGTATTTCACAGCTCAGTCTCTGTGTTGGGAGCACAAAAACATAGGTGTAGCATATGGGTGTTAAAGCCCCCTTTTCTGCC